AAAAATCAGTGATAGCAGAGACAGTGGGAGGAAAATGGACAATGTGAGATTTTGAAGAAATGGGAATAAAACGTAGAATGGTGAATAGACAAGATTAGATATATTAAGTTTCAGAGAAATACTAGAAAATACAGAAGTAGCAAAAACTGCAAATTTATAAAAATTTGACAACCTGTATTTTAAACAGTTCAACCAGAAATAATAATCTGATATTATTTGGCTGGTCTCTGGTTGTGGTATCTTTATAATATAACATTATGAGTAATTTATAACTTGGAACTTTAAGGTCTTTTTAAAAGTTTTCTCTTAAAAAATTACGTATTTATTTATCTATACATTTTTTGTGATTTTCAAGCTACTAGGTTTAGGACTAAACTACAGTGGGCCATGTGCAATCCAGCACCTTAACCACCACACTACCCGCTGGCCCCATTAAGTTTTCTTCTGTAACTATCAAAGGATGTGGGGACCCCACCGGGGCGAGGCCATGCCACAGCACTTTATCCTTCATTTTTCTGTCCTGTCAGAATTTGTACATGCATGTACATGCCCACAGTGTTTTTCAAGCCACCAATGTGGGGATTTAAACCACGATTGGCCATGTGGAATTCAGCTTTCCTTAACCTCTAGGCTATGGGGTCAGCTCTAAACCCTAAAGCCTTTTCTTTTCCCAGTGTCATAATGATTGACAAAAAGATGTTTATAATAAACAGTGCTAAATGTGAGATTACAGTTTTTCTTTTACAGTGAAAATTAATTTAAAATACTGAAAAATCAGAAATAATGTATTTACATAGATAGAAATGTTAAGTCTCCATTAATGTATATGGAAACATCTTTGCCTTCTAGAAATAAAAAGTGAATGAGTAAAGGAAGATAACCAAAGAAAAAGAACAAATCCACAGTTTACTTAACCTACTGCTGAGAAAGTAAATGCATTTTCCTTACATAATAAACATGCCTGTCTTGATCTTGGTTGAGCACAAACATCATATGTTTTCATTCTGGAAGTAATTCATTTTATACGTTACATATTTTCAGTTTCTATTTAGTATTCCACTTCACACTCAAATGACATTTAAGTTCATTTAATATTCTAATTTTGTTTTGTACCAAGAATTATTTTGGATCTATTTTTAAAGAATTATTATCATTATTATTATTATTATTATTATTATTATTATTATTATTATTTTGGAGTGGTTTTTGCTACAGGATGCATGAGCTCACCAGAGAATCAGAGAAAGACAGAGAGACAGAAAGCAAGAAATCACCCCCCAGGGATAATTGCCAGGGGGGATGGCCATGCTGCAATCCCCTCTCCTCCATTCTCCTCTCAGGATCTTGGGCATGCATGCACACACATGTGCCCAGCGTTGAGTTTAAGCCACTGGGTCCAGGACTCAAACCGTGGTTGACCACATGAGAGTCCAGCAACATAGCCATTATGCTAACAGCTGGTCCCAAGAATTATTTTATTTAACTTTCTTTCTTTTTTTAATTTTAATTTGACGAGAGAGAGACAGAGAGAGAGAGAGAGAGGGAAAGTGAGAAAGCAAGCCACCAGGTCTGAGACTCAAACTGCAATCAGTCATGTGGGAGTCCAGGGCCCTTAACCATCACACAACCTGCTGATCCTATGGATATTTTTAATACTTTGAGATTTTAATTTTTTGAGTGGTACAATACTCTTTTAAACTAGAGTAATATTCTTCCACAATATAAAGAAAAAAGTACTGTATATTATGAAAGTCTGAATATCACATATTTGAAGAGTTCTAGTCACAAAGGAAGCTCAGTCTTGCTTAACAGTTGACAGAGGTGATAATACCACAAAAGTAATTCAAAATTAAAATACTGACCATAGAATGGCACAAAATGAAACTCAGCAAATTGCTAGTTAATAAGTCTATTAAACAATGATAATAAGCCCATAAACAAACTTCTTTACTCAATGATTACTGCTACCACGTTACATTTTGACTCTTCCTTTTACCTTTCCAGGTCTTTCATGAGTCCTAACTCTTAGTAACTCCCTAGCCCCATCAGGCAAAAGTCCCCCAAGAAACTTGATGCTGATTCATGGTTTTGCTGTGAAAGTACCTAACCTGTCATCCTTCAAGGTAACTACTTCAATTTCCAAAATACTGAGAAAGCCTTATCTTAATTACATTAATTCTTTGTGATCTATCCTATGTCTAGCTTGGCTTTCTTTATTTAACCTTTTTTTTTTCTTTCTGTTTCCTGAAGTTAGTGGTCTCTAGTTTCCTGTTTCATGGATGTATTTCCTATATATCTTAACTCTGTGGACAGAGACTATATCTGTGAGAACAAAAGGGTATTTCAGAGGCAGAACTTATTTCTTAGATTTATATATAAATTTTCTTGTATGAGGATTGGCTGGCAGAAAAAAAATAATTAATGAATTTAATCAAACAGTACAACACATAATACACAGAATGTTGCAATTATATGATGAATTTAGAGAACCTGACAATTGGATTATTACCCAAAAGTTTATAAATTAAAAATTAAATTATTCACTATTATCAAAGATTCAAAACTGCTATTTCACTTGAATTAACTATGCTTATTGCCAGGACCAGAAGGTGGCATTGCGGTTGAGGGGCTGGATTTCCACATGGCAAACCATGGTTTGAGTACCAGACCTGGCAGCTTGAAAATCATGCCAGAATCATGTATATGTGTGCCCAAAATTCCAAGAGGAAAATGGAGGAAAAGGGACTGCAGCACAGTGATCCCATCTAGGGACTGATTTCTCACCTCCCCTCTCTCTGTCCCTTTCTGCAGAGCACATGTGCCCTATGGGGGGAAAAAAATTCAATCCCAGAAAAAAAAATGTTTACCTCGAAATCCCTATACTTAATGAGATATAGATGTTCCTAACAATTTTAGTTTACCTTAAATCTTTAGTGGAAAAAACCATATTAATGTATTTAAGTAGATAGCTAAACAATACGTTTGTTTCTTTACTTGGTAATTTTCTTTCTGTTTCCTGAAGTTAGTGGTCTCTAGTTTCCTGTTTCATGGATGTATTTCCTATATATCTTAACTCTGTGGACAGAGACTATATCTGTGAGAACAAAAGGGTATTTCAGAGGCAGAACTTATTTCTTAGATTTATATATAAATTTTCTTGTATGAGGATTGGCTGGCAGAAAAAAAATAATTAATGAATTTAATCAAACAGTACAACACATAATACACAGAATGTTGCAATTATATGATGAATTTAGAGAACCTGACAATTGGATTATTACCCAAAAGTTTATAAATTAAAAATTAAATTATTCACTATTATCAGAGATTCAAAACTGCTATTTCACTTGAATTAACTATGCTTATTGCCAGGACCAGAAGGTGGCATTGCGGTTGAGGGGCTGGATTTCCACATGGCAAACCATGGTTTGAGTACCAGACCTGGCAGCTTGAAAATCATGCCAGAATCATGTATATGTGTGCCCAAAATTCCAAGAGGAAAATGGAGGAAAAGGGACTGCAGCACAGTGATCCCATCTAGGGACTGATTTCTCACCTCCCCTCTCTCTGTCCCTTTCTGCAGAGCACATGTGCCCTATGGGGGGAAAAAAATTCAATCCCAGAAAAAAAAATGTTTACCTCGAAATCCCTATACTTAATGAGATATAGATGTTCCTAACAATTTTAGTTTACCTTAAATCTTTAGTGGAAAAAACCATATTAATGTATTTAAGTAGATAGCTAAACAATACGTTTGTTTCTTTACTTGGTAATTCTAGATATTTCTTCATTCCTTTCTGTGCTCTAGAGTGATATACTTAATAACTAATTATAAAAAGTTATAAACTTGGCATTTAAAAATGTTTGTTAAATTTGTATCATATTTCCTAATATACCTTTACAGTGTTTTTTTTTCAAATTTCATAAATTTAAACAAAAACAATACAAGAAAAAATAAAAAGTAAAATTGAACTAAAGAAAGCAAACAATATCTACTTCTCTGTAACAAGAAAAGGCTTTTAGTCTAAAATACTAGGAAAAAATGAAAATAGAATGATTGGTGATTATTTAGAAAGTAGTACTAATTAAGTGATATTAATAAACTAGAAAATCTTTTAAGATTTAAAATTAATTGGCCCACTTAACTCTTTTAACATTTTTTTTTTGAGATGTTTTTGCTGTAGGGCGCGTGCGCTCGCCAGACAGATAGAGAGAGACAGAAATCAAGAAATCACCCCCCAGGGGGGATGGCAACGCCGCAATCCCTTCTCTTCCATTCTCCTCTCGGGATCTTGAGCACACACGCACATGCGCCTGGCATGAGTTTTAAACCACCGGGTCCGGGACGCGAACCGCAGTTGACTACATGGGAATCCAGCGACATAGCCATTGCACTAACTGCTGGTCCCCGGCCCACTTAACTCTTGATAATATAAATGTAAAGTGTTTGAATTCACATACCCAACCTAAGCCATTAACCTATGTAGAACTTTTAAACAAGGATAAAAATGAACCAACAAATGCCAAAAAAAGAATTAGATCCTATAGTGCCCAAAACAAAAGTCAGAAAACACAACTGATAATAAGATGATTTATATACTTTTTGCAAAAACAAAGCAAAACAAAACAGTTACAACTCACCTGAACTATATGAACCTGATTTCATCAGTAACAGATTCTACAAGATGTATTGTTTGGTTCTTTTTAAGATAAACAGCTCTAGGTGACTCTAACTATATCAAAGTACTAGCTGTGTTTCTTCCCAGACAACTGCCTAATGCTCTTAAACTCCGCTTGCCCTACTATTGATACCAAGATTAAGTTAGCTTTTTCTTTTAAAGCTTTAGATTCACATCAGTCTTTTAAAATGTACTACCTTCAGATAAACTAAAGAAACACCTTATGACAGCAAAAAAATAAGTGATAGACATTTGCTAAGGCATAATGAAAATAAGTGAATTTTCTTCAGTGTAACCATGAAATGATGATTCATTACATACCACAGCACTCGGGACATTTTGGATGTTTCAAGACATCCATTCCATAACCTGGAAAGCAGCGATTAATCCAAATCATTTGGAGAGTTCCTTCAATATAGTATATTTCAGGCAATGGTTCTGCACGTCTACCAAGAACTTCTACTTGCTGACTAAAAAATCTCTCTATGAGACTTTTAGCCTAAAATATAAATAAAATTTGAAAAAAAAAGTATTAGCCATAAATAAGTATAATTTTAAAGTAAGGATGCATGTGAATTTAGAGGCATAGGAAAATAAAATCTTCAGGTCACTATTTTTTTCTTAAATTCACTGAATATGAATAACATATGTAAAAATGGAAAGAGAAAATCTATTCACCATAAATATTTCCAAATACACATTGTTTTTTGAGAGAGAGAGAGTTTTGCTATAGGGGGTGTATGCTTGCCAGAGAGACAGAGAGAGGGAGAGAGGGCCAGAAAGTGAGAAATCACCCCCTGGAGGGGGATAATCCCACTGCAATCCCTTCTCCTCCATTCTCCTCTCAGGATTTTGGGCATGCATGCATACATCCCCAGTGAGGGTTTCAAGCCGCTGGGTACAGGAATTGAACTACAGTTAGCCATGTGTCCAGCAATGTAATCATTACGCCATCTGCTAGTCCTCCAAATACACTTTTCAACACAACACAAGTAAACCATTTGGATATATATCTACATTTTGTGGTCCCTTAGGATTTTGAATAATAGATAGACTAGTATATGAGCAAAACAAGATAGTTCTTTAAAATTAAATATAACCTAAGAAATTAAATGTACTTAAATGTATTTTAAGAATCTTTAAGAAACATATCCTGAAGCACACTCACTGACACTTTCTAAAAAGAAAAATTATGTTTCTAAACGAGAGAAAATATAATAGACATTGCAACACCTAACTCTATGTTCCAAAAATTAATTTTACAAAATAATTAAGGCATCCTCATGACCTATAATTGCTTTTATGTTTGTAATAATGAATCTGGTTTGATTCCTAAAATTAACAAGACTTGAGCTTTTCTGTAAGATTTATACCTTAATGCATGAGGTATGATCATGAGTTCAAACCTTCTACAAATCAGATAATCTGTTCCATTTTACCGCACTGACATACACCTCCAATCTAGTCAGAAGCATGAAAACAATAGACACATGCTGAACTATAACCACTAATGGTTCACCTCAGCCTCACCGAGTTCTTCACTATCTTGTAAATTGCATCCCTTTCATATCTACAAATAATTATAAAAGTGTTTTTCAATATACTGTATTCAACATTAAACATGCAACTCTTATTGTTCTATTACTCAATTACGCTGTAGTTTTTCATACTCGAAATGTTTTGTGTGTGCTTTTGGTAAATTCCAGTGAATTTGTCTTTTTACTTGGTCAAACACAAATTTGAGGTAAAGATGTACATACATAATATATCATTATAAGCATATAATAATACATATACACATACATATATAAATATAGTATCTAATTAATTGTATTTAAGGGCAATAACTATAATTAAGTTTCTCAGCTTTCTAACAGTCCATGAAGCTAGACCTAATAAAACTCAGAAGACAGAAAATCAGATACGTGTTCACTATTATCTTTCCCTCTTATGTAATAAAAATGAAAAAGTAGTATTTTGAATCATGAACTGTATTTTCTTGTACTGAATATGTTGATTGTCAACACATAGTTAATAATTTGCATCAGAGAAAGAGTAAAGGAATTTTGTGAGTTGGGTAAAGGTTAAAAATGCAGAAAGTAAGACTTTCTGGACCAATTTGGATGATATGAGAACACATATATATTGTATGTGTATAAAATATATATGAAATATATTTTAGAAATTCACCTAATATATGGCTTAGAAGACACAAAAAAATGACTCAATAAACATCACATCTAGCCCAATCTACTCCTCCCAAATACCATTCTCCCTGTCCCAGCAAGACCACTGCCAATTAAAGAATGATTAAACACAGGAAAGAATAGGTCCATAGTGACTGGTCAATAGTTATGGGATTAAAACAAGAAGCCATTACCATTTCAGCATTTTGTAAAATATATAAACTTTTGTTATTGCTGCTATTTTGCTATAGGACACATGTTCTCATTGAAGAGAGACCAGGGTGGAGGTGGGTGGGGCGGGGGGTGAAGTGACAAAGCACCCCCTAGGAGCCACACAATAACCCCTTCTCCTTCATTGTCCTCTGGGCATTTGATATGCATGTACAAAAGTACATGCATCCAACGTACTTCTCAAACCATCAGGCCTAAGATTTGAACTGCTCACTCAGCCAGTTGGGATCCAGCCATCTCAACCGCTATGCCACCAGTTAACCCAAATACATAACTTTCTTCATGGTGAGGTCAAATAGTTTATATTAAAAATGACAATCTGTGCTACTGGCCATGCCAAGTTAGTAGTGAATAAATTGACTAGAAAAGCTTTTCTAATTGCTCTAGGTTAGTTTAACAAACTTAGAAAGGAACAACTACCTAGAATTATTTGCTTAGGGTAAGTAAGAAATATCATATATATAATATCAGTCTTACTAGGGCTCCAATATCCATTAAAGGAAAACTAGCTACTACTACATGTTACAAATAGTATACTTATAAGATAGAGTCCTTTTGTTATCTTTGGTTAAAAAGTGTGTTAGGGAATATGTGGGAAAAAAATCACTGGAGTTATCAAATGGAGTAGGAATTGACCTTTAAAAAAAACAAGATAGAAACTGAAAGCTGCATTGGATGAATTGAAAAGAAACGTAAATTTTCATAGAAAAGATTGATCTTAGTGCTCTTCCTTCAGAAGTAGAGGTGCTGAGACCTTACTGTAGAATATCCCAGTGGAGACTGTAGAAAATGACTAATAAATACCTCAGAATTGTCCCTCACATTTTAGGAACACTAGCACAGGGATAATGAGCTCTCAAATCAGTGACTTAGGCAGAGATCTACAAGGTAGAACTAAGTTCAGAAGTAGCACCAAAGGGATGAGAAAAGCAATAGAAGTTCAAATAATTTCAATAGATGCTGGAATGAATGTTGAAATCTACTCCTAAGAATCATAATGAATCCTAGGATTTCAAAACAGAAACTTCACTTTACAATGTAAGGACTACTGCAATCTTGAAGTGAAAAGCCAAAGAATACATTCTTCAGTAGTGATGCCACTCAACTGGTGATTGTTTTACAAGAACTTAAACTTGCCCTAGAAAATTAGACTCTTTACAAATATATTAAAGACAAACTATAATTTATTTCTTAAAATTATTAAAAATTTAAACTGGCTGGGACCAGCAGGTGGCAAAATGATTACATTGCTGGACTCTCATGTATTGATCGCGGTTTGAGTCCTGGACCTGGTGACTTAAAACTCATACCAATGCATGTGTATGTGTGCCCAAAATCAAGAGGAGAATGGAGAAGGAAGGATTCCAGTGTGGCCATCCCCCCTGGGGGATGATTTCTTGCTTTCTGTCTCTGTCTCTCTTTGCCTCTCTAGTAAGTGTACATGCCCTATAGCAAAAATCTCTCTCGAAAACAATTAAACTGGCATAGTAAGTTATTTTTAGTAGTATATTTCTCATTGAATAAAAGAAGCAGATAAGATAGAGAGTGGGCAGTTAGTGATGAGATTTTAAAATACAGGAAGATTTCCGTTTCTAATCATGTGGTGTATTCTACTAAAAAAAGAAGAAAAAACCACCTAAATGAACATAACAGAACTAAGATCTTATGTAGCCATGTTTCCACAGAGACTGGAGAAGGAGAATGAGAGGAAGAAGGGAAAGAAGGAGAGAAGGAAAAGAGAGAAAGATTTAAAAAGGAGAAGAGGACCAAAAATTAGATGAAATCTACAAACCTAATAGTAGCTGTTCTCTAACTCAATAGGTGCCAATCTCAGTATGCCAAAGTATTTGGTTGTCAGAAACATTTTTGTATAGGGACCAGCAGTTAGCATAATGGGTATGTCGCTGAACTCCCATGTAATCGACCACGGTTCGAATTCCGGACTCAGTGGCTTAAACTCACGCCAGGAAAGTGCGCATGTGTGCACACAGAGGAGAATGGAGGAGAAGTGATTGCAGCGTGGCCATCCCCCCTTGGGGGTGATTTCTTGCTTTCTATCTCTCTGTCTCTCTCTGTCTTTCTGGAGCGCATACGTGCCCTATAGCAAAAACCTCTCAAAAAAAAAAAAGAAAAAAAAAAGAAACATTTTTGCATAGAAAAACTGAAAGAATAGATAATGAATTTTCTGACAACCCATTATAATTTATCTGTGTAAAGCAAAAAAAAAGTCCTAATAAAAGTCCTAAACCTGGGAAAAAGCAAGACTCCAAGTAAAATAATGGGCAAACATTAAAAAATGTAGTTACTAAGGGAAGAAAACAAGAACAGTTCTGTCAGAACTTGGATGGAAGACGGGTGGAGGGTGGTAAAGTGAGAGGACTCCAAGCTTCTCTGCATATTTCTGCACAACAATCTGCCTTTGTGTCAGTTTGGAGTTTTTATTGTATTTTTCTGTGTGGTACAAGAAATCCCAAGCCTTTTTAAAAAATAACATAAACAGTGACTTTTCTTTAAGAGCAATCATGTACCATTAGGTAAAAGACACTCCACAGAAACACACTCGCTATCTAGATCAATCTACTGATACAGGTATAACACACATGACTTCATCAACCAGAACTATCAAGTACATGATGAAATGAAGAAGCAGCAACCAACCAAATTAGACCACGAAAGAATTCCAATAGTGGAATATCAGTTATCTAAAATATAAAAATGATAGAAAGTACCTTTGAAATAGATAGATGTAAAATGGGAATGAAACCATAAGAGAAAAATTATACCATAAAAAGAGAGAAAGCATATTTGCAGATAACCTATTTGAATTACAAAAAAAAAATGAGGTACAATTAAAATTTTATGGACAGATTTAACAGCAGATTGAGCTCAGATGGAGCCAAAAAAATAAAATGCAATAAATATCTGAAAAAAAAATAAAAAAAACTTGCTCAGAAGGCAAAACATAAGCAGGCAGAAATAAAAATGGGACAGTGTACAAGAGAGAAATCAGTGTGAAAACCTAAATCTTAGTGAATGAAAGAAATTCTAGATACTAAATGAAGAAAAGGTAATTTTCAAAAGA